AAAACCGCTTAGCACTCAGTGCTTTCTGCAAATGGTCCATGCGTGCAGATTGAATCGGTCTGGAGCAGGATGCGGGAGACGGCTGTGAGGGTGCACGAGAGCGTTCCTCCACGTGGGTAGAGGTAAGGGATCTCCTACCACTAGACTTTTTAGAACGGGAAACCAGTTCCAGGCTGGCCACCAAGGCGCAACCAAAATCAGTCGGAGGCAAGTTGTCTCCTTGACTTTTGCGAGAACTTTGGGTAATAGAACTGGTGGCGGAAACGCATACGCGTGAAGTCCCTCCCACGATAGGCTGAGAGCATCCACCGCCCAAGCCGCTGGATCCGGGACTGGGGATACATACACTGGCAGTTGATGGTTTTTGGCTGGTGGCAAACAGATCTATGTTTGGACAACCCAGTGCGTGACTTAGGAGAGTGAAGGCCTCCTTGTGTCTGCTAGTATATTGCGGCACCCCGGAATATGCCGAACTCTCAACAGAATGTGGAGATTGTCGACCAGTTGAAAGAGCCGAAAAGTCTGATCGAGAAGAAGCTATGAGCGTGTCGACCCTTGCTTCCGTATGTACCATACCACCGTGGTGTTTTCCGTGGCCACTAGAAGACAAGTTCCTCGTAGTCGATGTGCCCAATCACGGCCTCCAACTCCAGGCTGTTTATATGCCAGTTGATGAGTCGTGTAAGTGAGCGCCCCAACCCTGCAGGGAAGCTTCCACGAACAGTTGGCAATCCAGAGGCCGCTCTGTCAAAGAGACTCCGCCTAAGACGTTCAATGGGCGAGTCCACCAAAGAAGATAGCGATGTAACTGAGCTGGAAGGCAAAACCGTTGATGAACGTCTGCCCGACGAATGTATGGTTGAAGAAAGCGCTGCAGAGGACGAAGTTGAAGACGGCCTCTGCTGGTAAGATCCTGCGCCGACGTCAACAATCCCAGAAGTGACTGCCACCCTCTGAGGGACAGAGGTTGGGAGAGCGCACACGTGGAATCAGAGACTGAATCTTGTCCCACCTGTCCAGAGGAATCTGAACTAGGTTCTTGTCCGTCTGGAAATGGCCACCGATCAATCACAGACGAAGGGTGAAATCCCGTTGTTGTATAAGAAGTAGACGGTGTAACAGGTGCATAAGGCAATCGTCCAGGTACGGGTCGAAATTGATGCCCCTCAAATGAAGATACCGGGAAATAGGAGTTGTGATACGCGTGAACAACCACGGGGCCGTTGAAATTCCAAATGGGAGGACAGCCCATTGGAAATGTTGATTGTTGAAAATAAAGCGCAGGTACTTCCTGTCGCTGGGGCGTATTGGAACATGGAGGTATGCATCCTGTAGGTCCAGGCTGATGAGGAAGTCGTTGACGCATACCATAGATTTGAGGTATTCGAGGGACGTCATTCGGAAGTGCGGAGGACGTTCCAGGAAAGTCTCGTTGAAATAGGACAGATTGTGAATCATCCTCATTTTCGTGGACCCTTTCTTCGGCACTAAGAATATTGGAGAATAAAACCTTGGTGTTATGATGGGATACGGGAGTAATTCGATGGCTCTTTTCTCCAACAAAATCGCTATGTTCTCCGCTAGAAGGTCGTGTTGAAACTGAGAGTGATTGTGCCGGAGCGGGAACAGTGTCAGAGGTGGATCGGAAAGGAGGGGGAGCCGAAACCCCTGCCTCAATATATCGCTGACGTATGGATCCTCTAGGATGGACCAATTTTCCCAAAAGATCCCTATTCTCCCACCTACCGGTGTAGGATAAACTGGGACGACTGGAGGTGGGAGTGTCCAGTTGTGCGTGTCCCTCACTGCACTTGCCCCTACGCCCGTCGCCCTGGGTGGGAGCACGGCAACATTGATATCCACCCCTGTCTGATCTAGGCTTGGCACCACGTCCCCTGCCACGCGACGGCGCCGAGTTTCTGGCATGCCGAACAGACGGTCGCCGAGGCTGGTAGGTGTTGGATGACGAGGAGGAAGGACGTTGTCCCTTTTGAAACGCTTTCAAGGCAGTCTCCCCTTTGGCAAAATCACACACCTACCGATAAATGTCATGAATGGCATCGTTAAACAGTGACGACGATGACCAGGCTTGGTGGAATAATTTCCGTTGAAATTCCGAATCCCATGAAGAAAAGGAGAGGAAGCCTTGCCGACGAATTACGCACGCGTTGGCAAGAGCCGACCTAAGGTGCTCACGCAGGTCAGTGATTACTTTGCCCTGCCATAGCATCATAGTTGTGAGATGATCCAGTCGATCCGGATTTATTTCCTTAAGATCCTGAGTGATGGCATCAGTCGCTGACGCCAATGCTGATATAGGGCGGAGCATACGCTTAAGCTCTAAGTCCAAAGCCGCGACCCTTGTATCCTGAACTTTATAGGAGGAGACAGAGGAAGAGCCTGTCACACGTTTCATTTCCTCATCCACCTTAGTCACTGTCTGGGCAAAGTCCAAGCCATGAATAGGATAGTCATCACGCCGTACTCTAGGCGCTTTAATAGTTGGGTTGAGAGACATTGCCGCAAAATCTTCATCAAGGGTAGAGAGAATCTCTCTGACCACCTCATGTGTTGGCAACATTAAGGAAGGCGAGTCCCAAATAGTAAGGGACTTTGCAACATCAGGTCCCGGTGAAGGGACTGAGGCTATTAAACGATCAGCAATCGAGTCAAACACGTGATCAAAGCCAAGGAGATTAGAGCCCGTGTCTTCCTCATAGGCTGGGGCAAAGTCTCTCTCAGAGGACGGTGAACGAAACGGCAAAAGGGAACGGCTACGTGCAGACGACGCCTTAGCAGTAGACGCCTTACTCCGAGGTCTCGACCTATGTCCGCCTGCCGAAGACGTGGACGCAACGGGAGACGTTGGCGTAGGCACAGGAGCAGACACAGTCGACAGGATAGGCACCGATGCTGGAGGAGGCAGAGGTGCCGTAATCGTCGGAGGTGGCAAAGGTGGCAAAGGCGCTGGAGGCGCCGTAGTGGGGAGATACGCCGATGTTGCTGGTGGCATAAACGGCATAGGCGCTGATGTACCGGCTTGACCTGATAGTAAAGTCAAGAGAGTGCTGAGCGTGGATACATCAAACTGCTGGAAGTAAGTAGTGCAGGATTAGTTAAAAATATACTAAATATAAACTCATATGAAATTAAATGATATGGTAGAATTACTAAGACAAACAGGCCATGGGCTCTTAATAGACAAAGGCTGATCCATATATATTTTTGCATTCAGATTTTCCCAATTTGTTTCATTTGCAAATTGTCTAATTTTTCTAGACTGAATGATCCTTTCTCATTGAAAAAGCCAAAAAACTTTCAGAAAATCAGAGATTAGCATTAGCAAGGGTTTTTTAGGTTTCAAAGGGAGGTAACTCGATCATGAAATTGATAAAAATGCAGACTACATGTGAAAGTCACCCATTTTTAATTTGTTTTAAAAATGCCCTTGTCACTTGAGAATAAAATATCTTAAGATATAGTTTATTAAGTATATACTTTTTTCTTTAAAATAAGAAAGTTTCATTAGTGTAAAAACTAATTTTCCCCCAAAAAAACAAATTTTCAAAAACATATTTCATCATTACAAAACCATTAAACCAAGTCTAGCTCTAAATATAGCTATTACACATCTTCAAATTAACCACAGCCTGTAGTGCACATACTATTTCCCATCTTTGTAGAAGGGATTTGCTTCAAATCAACGTAAACTGAGGGTACCCTCATGACCTGGGTTTCAGGCCTCACTGACTGAGGTCGGGATGAGTTATCCGCCCTTACCGTGAGCATTGCTACCTCAGGTTACACAACACCAAATGTTTTCCCATAGACTTCTATAGTAGCCTTATATTTTTTAAATCATTATCCAGCCTATCAACAGCCATTCCATGTACACATCGGTACACTCTGGCCTTTAAACTACAATAAAACACAATATCTGGCCAACTTGTCCGGCATGTTTTGCGAGCACAGGAAGAGGAACACATCAACCCCAGTTCCGCACCAAATGTCACCTACCCGAAAATATCTGTACACACAATAAGTATAAGTCATGGTGATGAAAATCACAGCACTGAATACTTAAAATTGTAGCCAGATTTTAATTACTGGTTGGATATGCTTTAAAAAAACATAAACATCTTACACTATTTCATCCAATCACAGCTGTCACATGTCTCTGTATCTCTTCACTTGTTTACATACGGTCCGGCTCAGCGAGCAAGCGATTCTCATTTAGTGTAGTGGAACCTGTAGAAAAAATGGTCTGCATCTGCACTAATCAAATCTGTGATGCATGTATTGTAAAGATATTGTAGCTCCTTAGAAACAAATGGAAATTGGTTCAAGTGCTATACTTTGTGCTCACTGCCATGTCTATATGACACCTATATGCAGAGATCTGATACATCATAAAAGCTGTTAAGAGTTAAATTACTATGGTTTTGGCAGCTTATTGCAACATGTACTTCTTTATTCATAAAGAACTTTCTATGACCATACACAGGCCTCTATTGTTTATTCTTGTTTCCCGAAAGGAGGGGGTTCACAGATGATGCTTCAAACATGTCACCCTTAAAATATCTTTTCGACCCTGTAAAATTGGCAATGCTGATAAAGTCAAAACAAAATAGACTTCATATTTCAATTTAAATGATGGTGAATTGTTTGGAGTAATGTGGTGACAGCAACTAGTGATAGCAGAATCTGATACATCTCATGGAATTTGGTTGTGACACTAATTAGCTTCAGTGTTAAAAGAGGCTGGACAGAGTCAGCTGACTGGAACTGTTACCCCTGCACTGTTTACATCTAACTGACAGGTCCATATTTGGCATTTTAACTATGGGAGGGCAAGATCCAATGTTAATGCCTTCATTCCAATGAATAGAGTTAGTATCTTAGACATACTCTGGAAACATGGCACCACACTGAAAGTGTTCGAAAAGTTGTTTCAAAAAGGGAAAAGCCTTGGAACTAACCCAGGGAAAAGCAAAGTAGCTTTACAGTGCCCCAGACTGTCAGGTTGACCCCTGAGCTACATAAGAAAGTGACCAGTGCAGGGGTGACTGGAGTCCAGCCAGTACAAACACTCACCAGTCTGCCATACCGCCTGTTAAGGCTGAGGATGAGAAACACCCATCAGGAGGATGATTGTTCACTGAAAACAAAAAGTGACAAGTAAGATGACTATAATCTACTTATTCATGTCACCCAAGCTTTGAAATACTTGCAGGTAACAAAAAGTCCTCATTGTTAAATGATTTGGGTGGCCAAACCTGCCTCATTAAAAGAATTTACATGTATCTTTAAACAAGGTGACATAAGAAATTTTCAATTTTATTCACATTTTTCAGTGATTAAGTGAAGTAAGTGGCCAAACTCAGACTCATGAATGAGTGTTTTTAAAAAAACCAATTAAAAAAACAGTGTTTTAATACCACAATGAAGGGCTAAACTGGGATAGAAATAGAAAATACATTTCATCCAGCAAGGGAGATAATTCACAAATGTCGAACACAACTACATATTGTAAATAATCATTCAGAAGTTTCCCAAGTAGTCAGTGGGGTTTATTCTAAATCTGCAGGGCTGCTGCTGATGTGTATCATCTGTTCCACGTTGGGGAGACAGAGAAACTGTTCAATGAGGCATTTTGTGAGCATGCCACAACATCGACAAACTGTGACGGGGACATGGTTATGGATATGGAGCATGAACAGCAGTGGGGCCTCAACTGGACAGAGAGACTGAAATGTACCAACTGTGGCTACCTGTCTTACCATCATAAGCACTACAAGGAGGTAGAAGTAGCTGCGGCAAAGAAGGGACGTCGCTCCTCCACTGCTAACACTGGACTCCAAATAGGCCTGTTGAAATGTCTCATGGGGAATGAGAGTTTCCGTGTCCTCTGCATGAGTGCAGATATTCCACCCCTATCCAGTTCAGGCATGTAGAAAGCTGCAAACAGAGTTTCTGATACAAAATTGCAAAATTGGTTATTACACAGCAAATATTTGGATAAAAACTTCAAAATTACTCACAATGGAATTCATTTTCAAAATTTGACTGACATTCATCTCGGCCCTAAAATAATAGACAAGACCCAATTCAACCTGAATAGTCAAAAGTGTGAATCTACAAACAAGGCAATGCGCAGGTCATTACCTCGTGATACAACCTTTACTCGGAACTTCCAAGTCAGAGCTCACAGTGCAGTGCATAGTGTCAACTTTTAAAGTCCAGCAAAATCACTCTTGACACTGAGACATGGGCTCGGGTGTGCTGTCACTTCAGAAAGTAAAATTGATAATGAAATCAGCAAAAGCCACAATAAAGTACTTAAAGCTAAAACATACAAGAAATCAAAAATAAGTAAGGACCGCATGCTAAGAAATGGTTAGAATTATTTAAACTCCATCTTTGTAAAAACAATTAATATTCAAAAGACATGTTATTGAAAAGAAATACTGCATATTTGAGACATCAACACCAAAGAGAGGACCATCCATACACAAAGCTGGCCCCAAACAGAAAGACCTAACAACATAATGTATATGCTTACATTTAACAGTAGGGTTTATGACTCTTGGTGCACAAGCCCTGTTGTCGACAGTGAATTCTTTCATATTGTGTTCGTGGGTCTCGACAGTCAAATGGTCAGTGTTTACACAAGAAGTGTTGTGACAGAGATGGCTCAACTTCAAATGTTTTGCCAGAGCTGTCAGTTTTAACTAAATCATCTGGTAAACATTTATTTGCTATGCATAGGGCTATTTTGTGGGCTTTTTGTCCGGTCCCTGCCTTGGACGGCCACGAAAAGAAACACCGCCCAATAACTAGACGACTTTGCACTATACCAAGGTGTGCTCGATAACTCGATGTAGGCATTGGACTACGAGTTTATTCATGCCCTGCTTATCTCGGCTGCCCAACCACTCACCCATTTTCCTTTCAAAATTCCCTCTACATTTGTCCCAAAACGTTTCCATGGCAGTATGTCAACATGGAAAACCATAAATTATTAATTGCTGATATAAGCACTTACGGTCCGGTCCGGCTCAGCGAGCAAGCGATTCTCATTTAGTGTATTGATACGAGACCTCACACTCGCGATCAAGTTATACTAGCAAACAATTTCTTCCACTTGCGAAATCTTGAAATAAATTCTGTTATCAGACAAGCATCCCCTTTGATATAATTATAGATGCAGCTGTTTTCAACAAAATACTCCGATTACGATACAAACCATGCATTTCCATTAGCTTTGCTTCCAAATCACCTCGTGTAGTGCGCGAAAACTGTAGCAAACGGGATCCGAATTGTTACAAAACTTGAACGGGCCTTCATGTGAAACATGAATTCAATTTATTTATAGATTATTACAGTGTTATTTTGATTCAAGTATCAAATGTTTTAGGTATGCAAACGTGTTCTTTGTGGCATATTTGTATTGTCTGTCAGCTCCCACAATATCTACAGACATTATTGAATTATTAGCTAAGTGCTCACTTCGACGTTACCGCTTTGTAACTTTCTGCTTTTTGACGCAGAGAACGTGCTCTCTCTCTCTCTCTCTCTCTCTCTCTCTCTCTCTCTCTCTCTCTCTCTCTCTCTCTCTCTCTCTCTCTCTCTCTCTCTCTCTCTCTCTCTCTCTCTCTCTCTCTCTCTCTCTCTCTCTCTCTCTCTCTCTCACTCTCTCGCTCATCCCATAGTACTGATACAATCGGAGCTAGGGAAGAGAAGTAACCACATACAAATGAACAAGGAAACGGAAAAAAAGTTTGTCTGTTTTGTATTATTTTTCCCTAACGTTAAATTGATGTCAAACGGATGCTCGTGTTGTCCACATTAAGATACACGGTAAAACTATCTCATTGTTTAATATATATTCAGGGCATTATTTAAATGGTAAAAACAGTTTATTTTCTGTCGAAAGAGTGGCAAATTCTGACTGTGAAACCTAGATATTTGTTTTTGTACAATCACGGAAATTAGAAATATAGATATTAGAGAGGTTGAGCAGCGCTACGTGTACATGTACGCCTACTTGTGATCAGGGGATTTCCCTAAATGCCTGTGTATTACGTCATCACTATTTGCTGACCTGTCATCCTACAAGTTCCCGCTGACGCCTACTTCGAAGGATACACGTGAGTGAAAACTTGTGAGCTTGTTTTAAACAAAACAGCTGAATAGACTGTTATATTGTTTAGATAGTGTGTTAAAATAAGTATTAAGTTATCATCCAGTAATAAATTAATGACCAGTTTCTGTGAAATATAACGCGTTTTTTGCAGCCGTGTAGACACGAGAGTTAACCTATTGCTAAAGAAAGGTCATCATTAGAATCGTTCATATTAATTATTTATCATGAGAGTATGTTCCAGACATGTGTCTTTATGAATAAATTCGTATTTCAGTATGGCACAACGCAAAACGCAGGTCAGGTTTTCTGAAAAGGACGATGTCAAATTGCCGAGGGAAGTGTTGGCTGCCAACCCGTCCAAAGACAAGGGAAAACAGCAGCAGACAACTTGACAAGTACACGGTCCGACTTCAAAGTCGACGCTAGGCGAGTTAGGGAGTGGACGCACTTGATGTTAGACCACTTATGCACAGTAACAATGGTTTATCGACGTTTCTGTTGTTTTCTTGAAATGTAGGGTCTTTAATATGTATTTGTGTTCTCTATATTCAGATCACTCGGATGAGACAACCCCTACTAAGAGGAGAAGTAGTACCAGCGTACTAGACTACCTCACTAAGTCAGAGCAGGAGGCAGAGCTGAGAAGACATGCAATTGAAGAACTGGATATGAGAAAGGAGGAACTGAAACTGGAGAGAAAAGATTTGAGCAGGAGAGAGAAGAGGGGGAGACAGAGAATGGAGCTGGAGAGCAAAGAAAAGACAGTATTGTTTGAACTCTTACAAAAATTTATCAACAAATAATTATGAAGAACGAAAGGTACTACACATTCAAGAGAATGTATGTGTAACTTGAGCTGTACATGTAACAGATTTGTATTGAATAAATATACAAGACATTGGAATAAACAGTTATCTTTACAATCAATATTTCACTACCAGGGGCATAGCTAGCGTATTCGCAAAAGGAAATTGCCTACACATAATTGCTGTAACATTGAAAGCACTTTGTCTTCATTTCTGGGGTCTCCCGCCGTGATATTGCTGGAATATTGCTTAAAGTGGCGTAAAACCATACTCACTCACTCTACATGAAAGCACAGGTCTCAAACAGTTATAATCTTGTTTAGGTGCGTATGTATTGTGTTCTTGAAGTGATGGTGGATCGAGCTGAAAGAAAGAGCTAGTTTCACTTCTATACAGGCAAGTGTGGCAGTTTGTAAGGATAGCAGCAACTTGGTAGTATTTACCAACTGGCTGCAAATACAGTTTTTGGTTCTTCTTGAAATCTAGAAATGCAAATAGTTGAAGCAACTTGCCAAAAGTCCACTCAACACAGACTCTGACGGCTGACATCTTCTAGTTGAATAGAGATTGATTCGCTGTTATCACGCCTCCTCTGTATGGCGCTATTATGTAAGGTGAAATACGCTGGGTCACCATATACACAAAACACATCATTGTTTCGAGTTGTCATATTCTCTGACATGTCATTTTCAACCCCGCTTTCTCTCAACATACCAGCATCATGGCGTCGGCCTTCAATGGGGCCATAAAAATGGGCTATCATTCCATTGGGTGTTACTATACTCTGGTACTTCAAACCATGTACACGTTTATGTCCACTGAAAACGAGTTTTTGGTTTTGTTGAGGCCGGCATATCGGTCGCACAGTACCATCAATATACCCCCAGCAGTTAGTGAGAGGTGAACCTTGGTAATGAATGGATCGAGACATATCTTCTAGATGACCATGTGATAGCCAAGGTTTGTCCAGATTGTCTAGTAAATGACTGTGCATGTTATAAATGTAATTTAAAACAGTATTAACAATGTGCGACAATTCTGAAGTCGATCTGCCAAAAAATAGTTTTACGTCTTCAAGTCGATTTGGGTAATCTTGAGTCTTCTAAGGAGAATGCACAGACCATCAATGCCTGAACAAGTTGTACGATTCGAGCAATGGAATTCGTCAGGAGCAGTAGGGTTTCTTTAAGTGTGAATAAATCTTCTCTAGTAAATCTGAAGCACTCACGGCACTGATCGTCACTGAGTTCATGTAATTTGATATATCTGTCGGACAAAGCAGACAGCAACCAGATATCATCGTTATCTTCCACGGCAGCCAAAACATTTATATTTGCCGCCATTACTAACTAAATTCACACGATTGTAAGCGTGTTACACACTTGTTTAAGTCGGAAAATTTGACCAATCAAAGTCGATTTACATATACCAGCACATGTACCCGTACACGTAAGATTAACTCACGGTCACTTTAAAAGTTTGGTAGCGTGTACGCGTATGTGTACGTGTAATTTACACGTAGGCGTACATGTACACGTAGCGCTGCTCAACCGCTCTACTAATGAACATACCAATGTCCTCGTTCTCCGAAATTGCAAAATACATAAAACAAGCATGGTGCAGTTTTTACAGTAACTTCCTTATATTTGAAGATACTATCAAATGTGAGAATTAGACACCGGGTGTCTGCCTTTTTTCATATCAGAATGTAGTAGCTATATATGTTAGTTCATTTATTTTTGTACATGACAATAACTGTTTCAATCGGCACATTAAGACTAAGTTAATGAAATATGTTTTTTAAGTAGTCACTTATTCGTAATACTCAACACCGCTCCAACATTGCTGCACTTTTGTATCGGATGAATGAATCCAAGCGGCTCCATGTGCTATTACATTTTATTACCCACGTGGTCAACGTATGGGTAGTTGCATACTAATCTCGTACGTCACACGTGTGTCGTATCGCGTTGACCTGTGTCGTAACGACTTGACCTGAGATTCTAACGATTTGATTGGATAACCGATTACCTCTCAATTAGGTCACATTCTGACGTAACTATTTTTTCATTCATAACAAACACGTGAATTCATTCATTCTACAACTCAAATGCATTGTGGGAATGTAAACATCGAGAACGTTGCCGTGTCGCTGTTTAATTGTGAGTCGAACTGAGACATTTTATCCGTCGGAAAACATAAACGCAATGTTTCCAGCAGTGATGTCAGCCGAATGAAGCAACTGCAAACCAAGAAACGGGGTGCTACGGAGAAGTTTCCTGTAGGAGGCTGTTCGAGGGGATGACAACTGACATGCATCGTGACGTCGGTTACCAAGGCAGTGACGTCATTTTGGTGTGACGTCATTCAAATATTGTACTACAGTACAAAACTCTTCAGCAACCCCTTTATGAAACCGGTTTCGGTTTGAAACCAAAATATTAACAAAAATACGCTCTTTTGTCAATTTAATGCATGTAAGACGTGGGTAATAAATAAAATACAACACTCGGTCTCATTACATACGAATTATACGAACTCGTGGCCTTCCTAGGTTATCTGACCTCGCTTTCGCTCGGTCAGATACCATAGGAAGGACACTCGTTTCGTATAATTCGTACGTAATGAGACCTCGTGTAGTATTCTCTATAGATCTAGAGTTTAACGTCACAACAACCTCGCAGAGGTAATACTATGACATCATAAGCAGTGTGACGTCACTTTAGATTTGGCGGCACGTCACCTGGCGAACCTCGGCTCAGTCCGAGGTCAGAGTGCAGCGAGATGTAAACAAACAGTTTGTTGTTGTCTGTTTCACGATTAATGATAAAATTATGACACATAATTAAAACAGAACTACATGACGAGATGCAGGGATCATATATCATCAATATTTACAGGCAACAGTATCCTTACCTGATCATGTAAAGTTCCATAAACAACAAAATGTCTGAAAATGTTCTCAACAAGTTTTATTTCTCTTCAAACACAACAAATATTCTCACCTTCATACTGAATTATAAACAACGCGACGACGTGAACGTCCCACACCACGTTAGTGTCAGTCACGACATGTCCTCCATCACTGTCTACGTCAACACTACATTCACTTCACTGTGTACCATGTGACACCAAGAGATCCGACAGTTGATGATGTCCCCTGTCTCTCGCCACGTCGGCCGCTGTCTTCCCGTAGTTGTTCCTGGCGTTGATGTCCACCCCGTCCAGAGACAGGACAAACTCCACTGTCTTCCTGTCTCCTCTCCCACAGGCCCAGTGAAGGATGTTGTTACCGTTCACGTCCACCAGTGACACATCAGCACCTCGACTCACAAGGAGCTCCACCACATCTCTGTGCTTCAACCATGCTGCCCACATCACCGGTGTCCAGCTCCTCCATCCTCTACTGTTGATGTTCACCCCGTCCAGAGGCAGGACAAACTCCACTGTCTTCCGGTCTACTCCTCTACCGGCGTAGTGAAGGATGTTGTCACCGACATTGTCCATCAGTGACACATCAGCACCTCGAATCACAAGGAGCTCCACCACATCCCTGTGTCCCCCCCATGCTGCCGACATCACCGGTGTCAACCCGAGCACATCTCTACAGTTGACGTCAGCCCGACCTGTGTCCAGGATCCGCTTCACCTCCGCCAGGTTCCCATTCCAGCAGGCGTCATGGAGGTCAGCGTATGCCCTGGTGTCTCCACGTGCGGGAGTCGGTGTCGCTGTAACACAAAGTAAACTCTGTACACAGGTCGGACATCTTCATCTTACAGCTACATTGTTCACATCTTACACTGATGATACAAAACACTCGATACATTATCTATACATGCAGTATGGCTGACAGCAACATGGCGGGTGTACAGGGAATCACAAGAACTAGAATAAAAACTGTGTTCATAAGTCAATAAGTGTGGTCACTGATGCAAGTATTGAATGTATTCTGACATTATATACATTGAATGTATTCTGACATTATATACATTGAATGTATTCTGACATTATATACATTGAATGTATTCTGACATTATATACATTGTATGTATTCTGATATTATATACATTGAATGTATTCTGAAAATATACATTGAATGTATTTTGACATTATATACATTGAATGTATTCTGACATTATATACATTGAGTGTGACCTGACATTATATACATTGAATGTAACATTAATACATTGAATGTATTCTATATTTTGACATTATATACATTGAATGTATTCTGACATTATATACATTGAATGTATTCTGACATTATATACATTGAATGTATTCTGACATTATATACATTGAATGTATTCTGACATTATATACATTGAATGTATTCTGACATTATATACATTGAATGTATTCCGACATTATATACATTGAATGTATTCCGACATTATATACATTGAATGTATTCTGACATTATATACATTGAATGTATTGAAACAAGCTTTCTTACACATCTGTTGAGCTGACAATATATCATGTAGAGTATTAGTGTATACACAATGCGACTAGCACATCTGGTCCACAATATTCCCCCACCTACCGTGTACATCAGACTTCTGTGAAGACCCAGGTATCAGTGCTATCCCCTCGCTCCAGGCTGCAACACAGAATATGTCATGTAGAATACTTCAACACAGAACATGTCATGTAGAATACTTCAACACAGAACATGTCATGTAGAATACTTCAACACAAAGTGGTTCTCGTCAGAGACGTGCAGGAGTTGACATGGAAACAACTACACCAGTGCACCAGTACTGTTGCTAAACATATGTTCAGGGTATTATTCATGATGCAGGTAGATGGTCTTGAGTGATGGTTCTTGGGTGGTTGTATCACGCCATTCCAGTAAGTCGCTGTGTCTTTGTTCAGATTAATAAAGATTTTAAAAGTATAAAATTGTCATTTTATTTATTGATGAGGTTATTCAAAAAGTACGTGGGTCAACTAAGAAAATAATTCTAACAAATTCACCTTAGATAACATCATATACATAAAAACGTAACACTACCCACCACTATCGCCCTGGTTGGATCCCGCCTCTCGCCTCCCGCACTCTATCTGTGTTTCCGAGACAGGTGCTGAAAATAACAATATAATATTTTGATTTGTGTGTATGGTATTTCTTTCCACCCATTCTCATGGAAGTCTGTACCTGCAATCTCCAAAATGACTCACTGGTGGAATGGAAGTGTCTGGGTTCAAGTCTGGCAGAAGGGGGTTCGTGAGCTCAAATGGCTTGGACTTTATACACTTGTCATATTACTGTCGTATTTTCTAAATAATGCAAATAATGAAAATGCTGCATACGCAGTCAACGTGACGTTCACCCAGTGTTTGCTTCCATCAGTGCTATTATTTGAAAACTAGGGCGAACGTTCAAACTGACTGACATGGTTTACTATGATCAAGCCTAGAAACCGGATTTCAAAGTTATTCATAAACACGCACACCTGTACATCAATTTTGGACAATTACTCGTAAATAGGAGTCACCTAGTCGCGTGTTGTAACCTCATCAGTGACAGCCTTGGAGACCACATTTCAAACAGACAGTGTTTCTCGTTTACTGACGAAAACCTTTAGAAAATATTGGTCAGACAGAACTGTGTATACTAAAATTGCCTAAGTTGTCGAGAACCACACACTTGTGTCAATATTTCCTCGAACCATGAAATCAATAGTTTACTGGGTTTTTTCCTTCAGTAACAACAATAAATCAAGGAAAATATTTACGATAAACAGAACAAGTTGGTAAATTGTAAGTGCTGTCGTCAATCGTGATGGACCCATCCATACTTACATACAGTGAGTGAGTTGAGTTTTACCCCGCACTCAGCAATATTCCAGCTATATGGTGGCGGTCTGTAAATAATCGAGTCTGGACCAGACAACCCAGTTATCAACAGCACGAGCATCAATCAGCGCAATTGGGAACCGATTACATGTGTCAACCAAGTCAGCGCGCCTGACCACCCTGAGTCGCCTCTTACGACAAGCATAGGTTACTGCAGGCTAATATTCTAACCCGGACCTTCACGGGTCACTTACATACAGCCTGTACATAATATTGTTTACACATACGTGCACAGTGTAATCCATACATATGTACACACATAATCAACACATACATGTATAGTGTAATACATACATATGTACACACATAATCAACACATACGTGTATAGTGTAATACATACATATGTACACACATAATCAACACATACGTGTATAGTGTAATACATACATATGTACACACATAATCAACACATACGTGTATAGTGTAACATACATATGTACACACATAATCAACACATACGTGTATAGTGTAATACATACATATGTACACACATAATCAACACATACGTGTATAGTGTAATACATACATATGTACACACATAATCAACACATACGTGTATAGTGTAATACATACATATGTACACACATAATCAACACATACGTGTATAGTGTAATACATACATATGTACACACATAATCAACACATACATACGTGTATAGTGTAATACATACAAATGTACACACATAATCAACACATACGTGTATAGTGTAATACATACATATATACACACATAATCAACACATAATCAACACATACAGTGTAATACATACATATGTACACACATAATCAACACATACGTGTATGGTGTAATACATACATATGTACACACATAATCAACACATACGTGTATAGTGTAATACATACATATGTACACACATAATCAACACATACGTGTATAGTGTAATACATATGTACACATAATACGTGTATAGTGTAATACATACATGTACACACATAATCAACACATACGTGTATAGTGTAATACATACATATGTACACACATAATCAACACATACGTGTATAGTGTAATACATACATATGTACACACATAATCAACACATACGTGTATAGTGTAATACATACATATGTACACACATAATCAACACATACGTGTATAGTGTAATACATACATATGTACACACATAATCAACACATACGTGTATAGTGTAATACATACATATGTACACACATAATCAACACATACGTGTATAGTGTAATACATACATATGTACACACATAATCAACACATACATATGTATAGTGTAATACATACATAATGTGTACACACATAATCAACACATACGTGTATAGTGTAATACATACATATGTACACACATAATCAACACATACGTGTATAGTGTAATACATACATATGTACACACATAATCAACACATACGTGTATAGTGTAATACATACATATGTACACACATAATCAACACATACGTGTATAGTGTAATACATACATATGTACACACATAATCAACACATACGTGTATAGTGTAATACATACAAATGTACACACATAATCAACACATACGTGTATAGTGTAATACATACATATGTACACACATAATCAACACATACGTGTATAGTGTAATACATACATATGTACACACATAATCAACACATACGTGTATAGTGTAATACATACATATGTACACACATAATCAACACATACGTGTATAGTGTAATACATACATATGTACACACATAATCGTGTATAGTGTAAACATACATATGTACACACATACGTATATAGTGTAATACATACATATGTACACACATAATCAACACATACGTGTATAGTGTAATAATACATACATATGTACACACATAATCAACACATACGTGTATAGTGTAATACATACAAATGTACACACATAATCAACACATACGTGTATAGTGTAATACATACATATGTACACACATAATCAACATACATATAGTGTGTATAGTGTAATACATACATATGTACACACATAATCACACACATACATACATGTATAGTGTAATACATACATATGTACACACATAATCAACACATACGTGTATAGTGTAATACATACATATGTACACACATAATCAACACATACGTGTATAGTGTAATACATACATATGTACACACATAATCAACACACACGTGTATAGTGTAATACATACATATGTACACACATAATCAACACATACATAATGTCTACAAACTGTCGCAAATAAAGATTACAACATAAACAGGAAGAGTTGAAACCTGATGTCTGGTTTGCCAAATTTTGGAGATATTTACATGTGTTTGGTCCCGGTGTCCGTATGAAACAAGGGTACACTTACAGAATACCGGATACCTAATTATATACATTCTATTGTGCGCGTGAGGCTCCTATATATAGAAGAAACAGAGAGCGCGAGCCTGCGAGCGATCCAATAAAAATACGAATTTAAGGTAAAAAATAAGGTTAAAATCGAATTCCTCACCTTACTTCCGGTTTAGGAAACCTAAACTGGGGATTTTAACAGCATTCACTGACGTAAACAGAGTAAAAAGTAATCGTGTGTCGAAATATTATTCAAATGCATGCTGGGAAAAGGAACTCTACAGTGTGGGAACACTCTGATGGTAAGTGATTTTTGATTGGCAAGGTAAGGTAGGTAAGGCTTTTAAATAAAGGGGGGTACCCCCTTTACCCCCATTATCTTACCTTTTTTGGCTTTAATATTTAATATTTAATATTGAACGCTGCTTCAACACAGCCTTCATTCATCGCGTGCCGTTGCTAAGGAAACAAAATGGAAGTGCGCAAAAATAAATGCGCAATCAAAATAAAAATGGCGGATAGGTATCCGGTATTCTGTAATCTTGCCGAAACAAGTACCTGCTGCCTTATCCCTACAGTAGTCGTTGTCTATCTTGCTCTGTTCACAACCTTATCTATTTCCCTAATAGTTCTAAAAGTATGATGAACAAACTTACCCCACTACTGTCCTCACACAACAGACACATCTCACTGCCAGCCTGGAAATGCCCTGACTAGCGACACTAGTCACGCTAAGGGGCCATCTATGACGTCATTGTGACGTGGCTTATTGGAAGCATGACAGAGTTTGGCGCTCACTTGCTTATTCAGACCCGTGTCAGTTATATTCGGACACTGGACGTAACTTCCATACACTTACATGTTAGTTTAGTATAGCATAAATAATTTTCATGAATTTAATTTTCGTATGATCCAAGTCAAATTTTGCACATTTGTGAGGAACCATCTTACATACAATCACATAACTTCAGTTTAATTTTCCGTTGCTTATCTATGGAATGGCAACAATTTAATCAACATATGTAAACACCAGGTGAACAACAATGTTTAACATATGTTTTGGTTGTGAGTAGGATATTGTTAATGGAGGTAATTCTATTTGCCCATTTGACATCACCAGCTGTTGCCGGGAGAAGCTATGGTTTGGCAGTCATAACATGATGTAACATCGAGAAAGCCCACCTTAGTAATTAGGGCTCCTTGCCTCTGGGCAGGAGACCTATTGTAATCGTTCGGATTATTATTATTATTATTATTATTATTTATTATTCCGCCGATTTTTGTACCAAACCTAACTCCTAAACCAATGCTCCGAATCACTTTATCACAAAGATGCGCACCGAGGTGTAGATATTCCCCTTAAAAATCTCTAGGCTCTTGGCCCAATAGCAAAGGGGCGATAATGTCAACGTTTGACAGAAAATATCTCAAGAACTAATTGTTCCGACACTTCTAAATTTCTTGTACAGATGCACAATCGAATTCTAAACAATTTTGCCTGGACGGGTCAAGTCGCTAAAACGTACCGTTTGGCAGTTATTTTTGTTTTCCGTTTTTCTGAGTAGTATGGTAGATGATGTCCTGGTGATTCCAGAACACTAATTGTTTTGAATGTAGACCCAAGAACAACTAAGATACATACTTTTAAAGAAGGAACTATTTCTTCTCCGGAACTTCTTAAAACATGACCCCCGTGACCCCAGCTGTATTTGGAAGATCCCCTCGCCTGTCAAAACATGTGTTCTGGCTCCGTTTTGGACGATGATATCTAACCCTCAGATACAATAGATAGAAAGTAAAGCCAAGGAGACCTCATCGTTGCCCGCAACTATATTTCCTATGTAGACTGTTGAGACAATTGTCTTGTGATTGAAAAGAACATTTTTCACTGAGGTCAGTGTCAAAAATAATATTGTTATACTATTAATCGGCATTACACACCGATACATGAAGCTGACTTGTCGTGATTCACATTTAACTGTCGGTAAACACAACTCTTGTGCCATTTGACTGAAAACATGACATTGGTATGCTCTTTATCATGATGATGAATTCCTACCGTTAGAGGTATCTGACGAGTCGTGATAGAGGTATCTGACGAATCGTGATAGAGGTACCTGACGAGTCGTGATAGAGGTATCTGACGAGTGGTGATAGAGGTATCAGACGAGTGGTGATAGAGGTATCTTGACGTGATAGAGTGACGAGGTGATAGAGGTATCTGACGATCAGACGAGTGGTGATAGAGGTATCTGACGAGTCGTGATAGAGGTATCTGACGAGTCGTGATAGAGGTACCTGACGAGTCGTGATAGAGGTATCTGACGATTCGTGATAGAGGTACCTGACGAGTCGTGATAGAGGTATCTGACGAGTCGTGATGCGCATTTTTTATGCACTGTGGGTAGACACCATTTCCATTTAAATATGAACAGCAGACAAATTGAAATGTTGACACAACGCCCCGATACTCTGCATTTCTATAGCGTCTATTTATATCCATAA